TCACAGACTTATTCCAGAGAACTGATCCTTAGATGACCCAACCAGAGCACATTAAATGCAGCTCATGCTCCTGCAGAAATTATCACAAGCTCTGAGAAAGCCAGTCACCAAGATAGCAAGGATTCAATTTCCCTCCTCCTCTAAGCAGAACCCTCTTGGGCAAATTCCCAATGATGATAAACAAAAGCTGCAAAAGAGGGTCTGGGGGAACAGTGCATGAAAACCCACTGAATAGTTTCCACACTGCGTGGACAGATGCTACACATGCAAAAGAACCATAATACAATTAGCTCTGCCTGTTCCAGAGGAGACCTTCCCAGCACGTACCTCAATCACACCCACTGCCTTGCAGGGCTTGGGCTCCTGCTTCTCTTGGCTAGAAGTCAGCTAGTGTCAGGGGTCACTGGCAGTAATTCCAAACCAGAGCCCAGAGCTGTAATAAAGACAAATCCATCCTTCTGCGGCTGGTGATTTCATGCCTGCTTTCTACCTCTTCAGTGCAGACCATGAACAGCTCGAGGGCAGAGGTCAAGCCTTGTTTCCCTTCCTACCTTTGAAGCCTGACTCAATACCTGGCACAGAACTGGCTAAAATAATAGATGAGTAGAAGAATGGTGAAGAAATGCCAGGTTTGGCCAGGACAGTGCCCAGGTATTATGGTTTATATCTAGATGATCCCCCAAAGTTTCCCCTCAGAGGAGGGGCTTATGGAGGAAGGTGATTGGATTATGAAGGTTCTACAGCTGGCTTGGCATTAGGAGGTGGGGCCTGAGCACTTCCTCAACCCCTCAGCTGCCTAGCAAAGTGCCAGCGTGGCCCTAAGACCTGTGTCTTTATGCTGGCTCCCCACCCTCCTGATGCAGAGCTGAGTCACTGAGAACCCAGCCTGCCAGCAACAACCTTGAAAGTGCTTCTTAAAGTCACTGGCTGCTGTCTCTTGGGTCTGACCTACTCTGGAACCTCAAGATGCTGACTTGACAGGCAAGCAAATTATGTTTTATCCTTCGCTCATTTCTTTATTAGCCATGATGATGAGAATGGATATGCACTCCAATGGAAGAAAACATTCCTGCAGTATTTATTCATGCTCTTTCATGTCAGCCACTTCCCCCTCCCCAGGCACAACTCCTAGGACCAGCCTACACTGTTATCTGGTGCCAGCCAATTTGGGCTGCCCTCTCATCAAATGCCAAGCTGTACTTTACTTACTGCATCCCCAGTGTTGTCACTTCTTCAGGAGCTATGACATTTCTGTCTTTCAGGTGACCGATGCGGACAGGCAACTGTCTTCAGGACACTTACGCCTGCTTGCTCTGCAGATTTCTCAAGGCAGAAGCTTTGCCCCTGTATCCAGGCCTGAGCCTTCCTATTGAATGTCACTGTGGTAGGTTCAAAGGCTCACAGCACTGGTTAGATGGAAGGAGTTGAGGGAAAGTAGAAGTGCATTAAGCCTTAGAGATAAAGGCTTTGAGATCCAATAAAAACCAACATTTCACTCATCCAATTGTTTAACAAGTCTATTCAGGACCAGCCGTGTCCTGGGTACTCTTATAAAGTGCTACAGACCTAAATATACACAGTACAGACCAAGCCTGTCTGCATGGAGCATATCTTCCAGGAGACATCTGACTTATTTTCATGCCTGCTTTACATTTTATAAGGTACAGTTTTGTTTCATATATTATTTATATAAGCCTCAGTAAGTGGTATAACCATCTCTAGTTTATAAATCAGGAAAACAGCAAGTCCAAAAGGCTAGATGACCCTCCCAAAGACAAGGCACAAACTCAAGTCTTCTGACTGCAAATCTTAGACTCTTTCTGGGGCCTCTCCAAAGGCAAAGAGCAAGCATCATACAGCCTGGCACTGAAACAGACATTAAATCAACTCTGGTCTATCTAGGTATCATCACTAATGACAGAATACACAAAAAGAACATCCAATCTTCAACATAAAGGAACCAATAGTCTAAAAGAAGAGAAAGACCAACTATCATTTGTGGCAGGAATAAAGATAGTGTGATTAAATTCAAATAGAAAGATATCTGAAAAGATACACGAGAAATAATGATTGCCTCCAAGCAGGAAAACTGAGTACCTGAAGAGAAAGGGTAGGAGGGTCATTTTGTCTATTTCAAATATTATACACTTTGAATTGTGTGCCATTTAAATATATTTTCCATTAAACAACACTTTGAGGGTGCAATCAGCCAAATCCTGAATGTGGAAAATTCTACAAAACAAATGATCTGTTTTCTTCAGCAAGCAAAGAGCTAAATAAAAAAGAAGAGAAGAAGATAAAAATAAAAGGAGGGAGGAAAAGGAAATGTTATATGATTTTAAAAGATTTAGAAATATTAACCAAATGTAATACATGTACCTTGTTGGATCCAGATTGAAACTAACTATAAAAAGACATTTTGGGGACATTTCTCAGACAAAGAAGTAGAAATAGCAAATAAATACATGAAAAAATGTTCAACATCACTGGTCATTCCAGAGATACAAATGAAAACAACGCTGAGATTCCAACTCACACCAGAAAGAATGGCTGCTATCATGAAATCAACCAATAACAAACGCTGGCGGGGCTGTGGGGAAAGAGGAACCCTGCTCCACTGCTGGTGGGAGTGTAGACTGGTGCAACCACTGTGGAAATCAGTATGGAGATACCGCAAAGTACTAAGACAGGAGGTCCCATTTGACCCCGCTATTCCCCTGCTGGGTATCTTCCCCAAAGAATTAAAAGAATCATATACTACAGTGATATATGTGTACCCATGTTCACAGCAGCACAGTCTGTAATAGCTAAAGCATGGAAACAGCCCAAGTGCCCATCAACTGGAGACTGGATAAAGAAGATGTGGTTTTTTTATAAAATGGAGTACTACTCAGCCATAAAAAATGAGAAACTAGAGACATTTATAGCTAAATGGATGCACATTGAGGCCATACTCTTAAGTGAAATAAATAGGACACACATGTATAAATACCGAATAGTTTCTCTGGTGTGAGAAAATGAAAGTGTAAATAAGGATCAAAAGGTATAATATAATGTAAAATAGGAAGAAAAGGTCCAAAGGGGAAGGGGAAGTGGGTGGGGTTGGAGAAAGGAAAGAAAGGAATGGAATTAGTATGAGAAAAGGAAAAAATGTAAACAAAGTCTTTGTAAATATGCAGGGGTGGAGGGTTGAAGGGAGGGCAGGAGAATGGGAAAAAAATAAGAATCAAGATATATTATGTAAAGGTATGAATTTCCAATGATGAATGTCATTATATTGTATACCTAAAATGTACCAATAAAATTAATTTTTTTAAAAAGACATTTTGGGACCAGGGATTTAGCTCAGTGGTTCTGCTGCCTGCCTCAAAAGTACAAGGTCCCAAGTTCGATCCCCAGTACCAAAAAACAAAAAAAAAAGACATTTTGGGCTCTAAGGAAATTTGACAGAACTATCTATTAGGGATTATTAAACAATTGCTAATCTTTGTTGTTTTGTTTAGTTTTTTGTTTTTTGAGACAGAGTCTCTCTTTGTAGTCTAGCCTGGCCTTGAACTCACTACGTAGCTTGAACTCATGGTGATCCTCCTGCCTCAGCCTCCTGAGTGCTGGGATTACAGGCATGTGCCAGCATATTCAGCTAGAATTGCTAATCTTGTATGATCACAGTATCATGGTTATGTTCTTTCAAAAGTCCTTATCTGTTAGAGACACATACTAAAGTATTTACAGATGAAGCAATATGATGCCTGAAACTTACATTAAGATATTTCAGCAAAAAAATAATAAATAGGGCCCAGGGATTTAGCTCAGTGGTTTCACCGCCTGCTGCACAAGTGCAAGGACCCGAGTTCGATCCCTGGTACCAAAATAATAATAATAATAATAATAATAATAATGAATAGAAAACAAATGAAAGAATGAATAAAGGAGTAAATGACAATCAGATATTGATAATTTCTCAAGCTAGATGACAGTTCCAAAAGAGTTCATGATACTATTCTATCTATTCTTGTGGATGGTTGAAATTTCCATCATGAAAAGTTTAAATACAAATTGTAAAATTAATTGTCACAGGCACAAAGGATGCCTGAGAAGGAAAGCATCACAGATGTGAGGCCAAAGGGATAAGCAGGAATTTTCTAAGGGGCAAAGCAGCACGAGGGGACCACCTGAGCAAAGCCAAGCCAGTCTACCCAAAACTCTCTGGAGGTGTCAAAAGTGTCTATGCTTGACCTCAGGCTCAACCCACATCCCACAAAAATGTCCTCTTGCTTGATCCTCCAACTCTCTAGGCTATCAACTACCTAGTTCCAAGTGAGCACACAGAGCACAGGGCTGACAGCTCCTCTCCTACAAGAGGCTCAAAGTGGCCTTCAAAGGATAACAAAGCATTTCATTTCCTTCCATTGGATTTTGCCAAGGAAGGCAATTTAGAAGTTGTCAGGCAGCCACAGGCTTGGTGACCCATGCTTGTAACCCCAACCACCCAGGAGGCTAAGGCACAAAGATTGTAAATTTGAGGCCAACCTGGGCCACATAGCAAGACCGTCTTAAAATAAAATAATAAAATAAGGGCTGGGGAAGAAAAAGGGGAGAAGGAGAAAGGAAAAAAAGAGGGGGAAGGAAAGGAGGAAAAACTGTCAAGGACAAGAGGCCACATCCCTCCTGAGTCCCGGTCTCACACAAGTGGCCTGACCAGAAACACACACCAGCCTCCCAGACAGCAACTCGTAGATAATAAATAACCTCAGCAGCAGGCAACCCAGCTTGATGTAATCTGACTGCCCCAACTAAGAGGTACTAAAACACCTCCCTGTGAAGGAGGAGGTAGTCCTCACCTCCTTCCTTCCAAGCCCCCATGCCCAGTGGCCCCCATGTCAATACCCACTCTGCTCTCTGCTCTCCTCCAGCTGCCCACAGGAAGCTTGATGCCTGTGCAGCTACTTCAGACTTATCCTGTCCTGACCTGGCTCAGATGGGCACCATACTTCCCTTACCTTTGATCGAAGCTGCAAGTACTCCTCTGAGCCATAGGGGACACTCCTAAGGGAGGTGAGGTAGTCGTAACTAATGGCAGCTGTCTGTGAACCAAAGGAGGGGAAAGTTTAGCTCTCAGACACCAAAGCCCTGCAGCTGCAGGCCCCAACATGGGCTGCTAGGTCTGCAGAAAACACCAGTCCACCCTCAGATGCCCTGTCCCTAGATCTCAGCCCCTTCTTCCTGCCATTCAGGGCTCAGCACAGATGCCACCTCTGTAAAGAGGTCTTTCTAAAGCTGCCCCTACCCACCAGGAACTCCTAATTGTTTACCATAATAATCTACCACCTAAAGGTTTCTTGCTTATTTGTTTCCTTGCTTATGAACTCTCTGAACTGAAGCTCTATAAACACAAGGGCTGGTCTTTTCTGTTCTTCACTGTACCCCTGGCACATTTTACACTGTCAGGCACATGAGCAGAGGGCTCAATAAATACTAATTGAATGAGTGACATTAGATAAATTTATCCTATTCTCAAAAAGGATATCCCAAATAAACATGTTATATTTATGTTTGTTCTAACAGAGTAAGTTTTGATTCTGAAGAGATTCCCTTATTCTTGGTGAATCAGAAAAGTACAAATTCCCAGATATCTCAGGCATGGAGAAGCCTTGAAGATTATCTAGTCCAAATCTTTTTTTTTTAGAATCGAGCATCAGGGGACCCTAGAAATTAAGGAGCTTACAAGATTTATATTAAAGAATGATTCTTAGGGCCAGGGATATAGCTCAGTGGCACTGCACCTGCCTGGCAACCAAAAGGTCCTGAGTTCAATCCCTGATACCAAAAAAAGAATGATTCTTTGCACCCTCCAAGGCATAATTCCATTCAACATATACTCATTAAATACCAACCACCAGATCACTGTGAGGAATGTACCAGGATGATCAAGACCAGAGCCCTTTAAAGAATGTATAGTTTGGTGGCTGTTTTATAAAGCACCAGGTGAAATCCTCCCCCCTTCTTTCTAACTCTTCAAGTACCTAAGGTTCCATTCAAGCCCTGTTTCCCCAGGACATTCACCCAGACTCCCAGGCCCCAGTGCTCACTTCTGTGTCTAACTGTAGCAGCAATCTTGACACATGCATGGCTTTAGATTGCTTTTTAACCCATTAGTGTGCATATTCCATGACCAGAAGCTCCAGAGGCTCCTTCAGAGCTGGGTCGACTCCTTTAAAGCTGAACAGAAGCTCCTTCAAAGCTCGGTCCAGCTGGGACCATTCATTTCTACCCATCAAAGCCCATCATAAGTCAATGATGGGTCCCAAAAAAGCAGTCAGTGAACACATGGAGATCGTTTCATATTCCCTAACCTGTTCATCCAGACCCAATTTGTCTTGATTCTAAAACTCAGCTTACCTTGAGCACAGCCACCATGTCAGTGGCCTCCCCTCTGAGTCATGCTCAAGAGGACACTTGGTAGCACCAAGTACTAAGGAAATAATTGGATAACAACTAAAATAAGAGTTGTACCTTGATGCATATCCACATCAAAGAGAGAAAAGGATAAACTCACCTGCAGCAGATAAAGGAGGACAGAAAGCATCTGGCATGTGACACTCATGGGGCAATTCTATTGCAATTCCTGGGACACTTGCTATCTGCAGTTTCAAGGACATGATCATACCAGGACAATGTTGCTACTGAGCCACTGGAGAAAACCTCTAAAGATCCAATATTTAAGTTGGATTCCCTCTTTCTGTTTGGGGAACCAAGGAGATTCTCAAAGTTTTCCAGGGCCTGGCTACTACAGAGCAGTGGTGGTGAACCTATGGCATGTGTGCCACAGTGGGCTGTTTGTATTATTGAAAGCTCTACAAGGTTCGCCATCACTGCTCTAGAGTCTATTGAACCAGTCACACTAACTCACTAGAATGAGATCGAGCTGGCCGGCAGAATTTAATCTGCAAAATCTTCTTTCCATAAAGTCTTCTTTCCTCTGTGTTTGCTGAGAAGGGCTGCCCCTATAAGTGACCACTATAATAAGATACAGAACCTAAAATGTAAAGGTTCAGAACAGAGACCTCATGCAGTCACATTCTATTTAACTGCAGGATGGCAGAGGCTGTGTATAGAGGAATGAAAATACAGGACGATGCACCTCCATGTCTATGGACCTGTGTAGACGGAGTTTCGGCACATCTAACTGTACATATATATGACCTGCATGCCCATTTGCTGTAGGTATGGTATACCTGCAAGTAATACTGTATTTCCTCTGCTACCCTCAAAATGAGAGAAACCTACCGTAGCAACTGCTCTGCCAACCCTGACAGCACCAAAGTCATTAGGGTCCAAGTGCTTGTTGCTGTAGAGGTAACCCCCAGAGGCAGCAAGAGCAATGCTAGTCCATGAAGCAAGCTTGACAGCCTTTCTGGCCATGGCCCCAGACCCTGTGGAAGAAAGAAAAGTTGAGACAGATAGCAGTAAAGGGTTTCATGGTCAATCCAGGATTCAAATTCCAGCTCTGCCACTTACAGACTGTATGACCCTGGATCATTTCCTTAAGCTCACTGAGCCTTAGTCTCATCATTTTAAAATAAGACGATGCTTACCTCAAAATTCTTGAGACAAAATGAGATACCTAAAACAGTTAGCATGGTTCCTGGTACCAGTCAGCTCTCAAAATCCTTCCTTCAACAGTGCCGAGCACTATCCTAGATACAAGAAAGAGTGAAGTTCTCACCCACATGGAGCTTACACTCTAAGGGGGATGAAATGTAAGAAGCAAAAAAAATACATAATATACTAGAGTAGCAGAACTGCTACTAAATGCTGAGATAAAAAGGACAGAGGGTATGGTGATCCCAAGAAATGAAGGATGCTATTTTTGACTGGAAAAGTAGGAAGGGCATGTTAACCATCACTACTTTTATTATAGCACAACATGCACGTGCAGGCATCAGTAGCCTTGGTGCCCAGGTCAAAAGTGGGCAAGCCATCACCAAACTGGCAGCTGGGCAGAAGCAGCCAGTAAGCCCTCCACATCTGCTTGATTTCCAAAGTTTTTACTTTGGTTAGAGTACATTGCCCCCTGTCTAGACTGCATACCTTTGGGGACAAACACCATGACTGTCTCTGTTTTGTCCACACACAGTCTTACAAGGTACATTCTGGTTAGGGCTCAATCTCCACTTGGTGACGTGATCTCTTTAAAACTCATACACTAGTCAATGTGACCTTTCCCCATCCACCTTTTTTTTTTTTGAGACAGGGTCTTGCTAGTAGTTTAGGCTGTCCTTGAACTCACTATGTAGCCTAGGCTGACCTCAAACTCACAGCGATCCTCCTGCCTCCGTCTCCCAAGTGCTGAGATTGCAGGCGTGCACCACCATGCCCAGCCTCCCCATCCACTTGTTCTTCCTCAGGCCACCAGGTGGCTATGCAGCCTTTCTCTGGGGCCAGTGCCCCGGTGGGCTGCTTCCTCTGCAATTTCTGAGTATTCCATATGAGACTAAAATCCCTGACCCCAGCTGCAGCTGCCAGGGAGAGGCCTCGGTGGAACAAGTAACCACCATGCCACCTGCCAGTACAAGACACAGCACAGACACAGCAGCCAGATGTAGGTCATCACTGTGCTTCTGCTCTGGACTGGGTCTGTGGCCACTGCCTCCCTGTTCTGAGCCTGTTTCTCCTCTGCATGGAAACTACTGTTCCAAACAGCCTCGTTTTCATTTAAAGTCTAAGTCTTTGACTCGCGCCTCATTAAACAGCCACACAGGTTTTCCTCACAGGTATTTAATAAAAGTGTTTATAAGGTATATCTTTTTCCATTCTGTTACTTTCCACTTACAGTTTATATTGTTCCTCTAAACAGCACATAGTTGACTCTTTATGTTTGTATTTTATATAACTTATGCATTTGGATTTACATTTTATCAACTTCCATGCTTACTAGTTTTCCTACCTGGTGTGTTTCTTTTTCTCTCCTTTCTTGATTTTTTCTGAACTCAGTAATTTTTAGAAGTCCTTTGTTTTTTCCCTTTGTAGCCTTCTTTCACTACCCCAACATCTGTAAAGTGTAGTCAGAGGAACATCTGAAAAAATCTCAACCTAAGTGCCACAGTAAGAAGGCAAATTCCTGGGCCCCATCCCACAGCCCACTGATACAACCACTCTGGGGAAAAGACTCTGGAATCTGTGTTCTAATAAGGGAAGAGGTGAGTTTTACCCAACAAGCTCAAGTTTGAGTACCACTCTCCCAAATATTTCTTTTTAATAAAGAGCTTAATGGGCTCAAATTCATCAGCAAAACCATCCCCCCAAAGCTGGCATCCCCTTCTTTTACTCAAGCGACTGTATTCACTCCACAGGAGTAAATGCAAACAATTATTTTTTAATAAATAATTAAAGAAAAGCATTCATTTCCCTAAACATATGTGCTCAATTTCTGGCCCAACTCCTGGAATAAGTTCCTATGTTTATGAGAAAGGAATTGTGACTACAAATAAAAAGAGTATGCGGTTGTTCATAATAGCCAAGATATGGAAACAACTGAAGTGTCCATCCATGAATAACAGGATAGTTACACATGGAATACTATTCAGCCATTAAAAAAGAAGGCAGGCCAGGGATTTAGCTCAGTGGTGCTGCCTCCTTCCTTGCAAGTGCAAGATCCTGAGTTCAATTCCCAGTACTAAAAAATAAATAAAGAAAAAAGAAAAAAGAAGGAAATCCTGCCATTTGCTACATGAATGAACCTGGAGAACATTACACTTAGTAAAATAAGCCAGACACAGACAGACACTCATGATCTCACTTGGATAGAATCTAATATAGTCAAGCTCATAGACACAGAAAATAGAGTGTGGGATAAGGTGAAATGAGAAGACATTGGCCAAAGGGTACAAAGTTTCGATTACGAGTAAGTTCTGAGGATCTAATGTACAGCATGGTGACTAGTTAATAATACTATATTGCTTACTTGAAATTTACTAAGAATTGGATCAAGTGTCCTCACTATACACACAAAATATGGTACCTATGTGAAGCAGTAGATATGTTGATTAATTTGGTTGTTGGAATCATTGCACATGTATATGCATGGAATCACCACGTACACCTTGAATATATGTAATTTTTGTCAATTTTACTTTAAGAAAGCTGGAAAACAAGTATATAAAAATAACTTAAAAGTTTGCTTTCTAGCAAGCTTTTGATTTTCTTTATATTTCTTTTTATTTTGTGAAAAACCTCTCTATCCACACCTCATTTTGCAACATTTTAATAATCCTTTCAGGGCCAGGGATTTAGCTCAGGGGTTTCGCCACCTGCTGCACAAGCACAAGGACCCGAGTTCAATCCCCAGTACCAAAAAATAATAATAATAATAATAATAATAATAATAATCCTTTCAGACAGAAGACATGGGGGTGGGAAACATGCACTCTGCAGCTCAGCACACCCAGAACTACATGGCAAGATCCTATCCCAAACAAACAACAAAAAAGTGTCCACACTACAGGGTCGTTTTAAGAATGAAATGGCATGCTGCTTTAACATGTTGCTTTACACACCCAGGAAATGAGACTTTCTTTTCTTGTTACTATTTTAAACTTCATTTCTTCATCTCTGAAAGTCAAAGAGTACTGGGAATGGGAGCACAGTTGCCTAGCATGCACAAGGCCTGTGGTTCTATCCTCAACACCATCAAAAAAGAAAAGTCAAGAGGCTTCTTTAAAGGAACTCCTAGCATCTCAGGGCCCAGGACTTGGCACAACCTTGAATGATAAATAAGGGGAAAGGTGGGTGTCGCCTCTTGCCTGAACTCAATCAGCCTGCATTCCAAACACTTTCTCACACCCCATCCACCCTCCCCTCTGCTGTTTGAGTATCACTATTACCCACCCTCAAGTGTGTTCACATCACTTCTACCACACTTTGACCTACCAAAAAGTCCAAATTCTCTAACAGACATTCAAGGCCTATCACTTTCTCATCCCAACCTACCACTGCACTTTATTTCCCAAAGTATCACTCATACCTAATCCCCCAATAGCCCTCTAGAAAGCTTTGTGTGAGTCAGTCACTCAGAATTCCTTGTTCTTTCCTATGTTTCATCATGCTCTGCGTTTATCTCTACAATCTGGTCCTGTATTTGCCTTGCGGATGCCAAGGGCAGAATTTATGAATAAATACATATGTGTAGTGAGTTCCTACTGTTTTATGTTGCCTTGGCGTCCGTTTCGAGTGTAGGTTTACCCTGCTGATGCCAGAGCTGGACCTCATTACCCTTGAGTTTCCAGTTCCTGCCTCCTCCCAGCTTCTCAGTGCAGTTGATCCAGATAACTGCCTCTTGGTCATGACCTCCCAAAGAGAGCTATGGGACAGATATAACCTGCTTGACTGCCCCTACTCACCCCCATACCTGGCATAGTGCATAAACATGCTGCAGTGGTGACCTCTCAGTTACAGTGTGACCTCCTTGCTCTACACCTACCAAACAACTTCCTGAGGGAAACTTTCCAGGTAAGCCCTCAAGTCGAATAAAGACTTTGGCACACAGGTGCCTCTACCTCTCTGTTTCTCTCTCCCCTCTGAGCACCTGCTGAGTACTCTGCTGCCTCCAAACTTTTCTTCACTCTCTTCATGGGCACCTGGATCTGGGAATACACAAAGACTCTGTTATTTCACTGTTTTGTTGGGCTACCTCCTCTGTGTAACACCTGACCAGCACACCTGAACCTAACTCTTTTCCAGGACCTCCTACAGAGGGGCTACCTTGGAAGGAATAAACTGGCCCCAGCCAGATGAGAGCCACAGGGAATCTGCCATTAATAAATATGTGTGCTGTGATAGAAACACCTGATAGCAGTTCGATAACTTACGTATTAGGCTGTCTGCCTGGATAAAGAAATACTCTGAGAAAGGCACACTATAAACATCCAGAACCAAATCTCTTAGGTCCCCATCAGGGTAGGAGCAGAGTTTATGGCCACACTCCTAGGAAAGACCTCAAGACCAAATGAGACTTAAATACAACAATAGACCTGCTAATAAATGATGAAACTAATGAGTGGGTGAGTCTTTCCCCAGTCTAAGCTCAACATGAAAACACAAGTCCAGTTATGCACTCCTGTGTACCAACCTCTCCAGTGGCTCCCACCTCATTTGTGAAAAGCCAAGGCTGGGCACAGCCTACAAGGCCTTACAGGATCTGCCTCCCCTCTTGCTTCCGGGGTCTCCGCTTTTCCCTCTCCATTCCAACTGCACTGGTCACCTTGTAGATCCTCCAACATGCCAGGCACAATGTGGCCTCGCTGCAGCCTTTGCCCTTGCTGGTCTCTCTGCCTAGAGAAGAACCAGCAAATTTCTTCTGTAAAGAGCCTTACAGTAATTATTTTTGGCTTTGTGGGCTATGCCATTTCTGAGGCAGCTACTCAACTCTATACTATAGCCCAGAGCAACCTCAGAGGACATGTAAAGCAATGAGCACAGCCAGATTTAACCCTGAAGTTGTTATTTGCCACACACTAGCCTAGGAGCACTCCAAAAGCATTTACTGAAGGAGTCAGTGAACTATGCCCTAAAAGGCCTGTGCAGAGCCAATAACAACACAGGTCTCCAGGTGGAAATACACACTCTGGGCTGCCAAAGCAATAGCCATCCTCCTCCTTAAGCCCCAACATGACCTCCCACTTCTTGCTCTCATCCTCCTCTGGCCCTATCCCCATACTTGGCCCCCGATATACAAGGTCACCTCTACCCTTGAGATCACCTCCATGTGGGAATGTGGCAGCAAGGCAACCACTCCCAAACCCAGTTTCCAAGCAAATGTCCTCAGTAATAAAAGAGGTGAGAATTGAAATACATAAAATAGATGACTCTGGAAGGGGAGCCAAACTGTTTCTAAATAGATCGGAGCTGCAGTTTTCCATAAGGTGTCACTGAGTCTTTAACATACAAATTAACTGCTTCCCTTGGAGTATTTTAAAAGACCTGTCAGGCATGAAATATGTCTGTCAGTGAAAAACATCTTTCATTATTAAACACTTTGCTAATGAATCATCTGTCCTGTTCTGTTTACTTGCATTTTTTACTTTTACCTGACTTACCTATCATAACAGTACATAACTTCAGGGATCTAAGGCCAACAAGAGCCTGAAACCTAATCACTAGATATTAGTAATAACTATCCTTTGTAGAGCCTTTTACACTCATCTCATTAGATATTCCATGCAACCCAAGGAGGTAATGCAAATACACCATCCCAAGTATAAATGAGAAAACCAAGGCGCAGAGATCATGAGTGATTTTTCCCAGGTGGCTCAGCTAGTCAAATGGCAGATTAAAACTTGAACAGGGCGGGCCCAGGATTTAGCTCAGTGGTTTCACTGCCTGCTGCGCAAATGCAAGGACCCGAGTTCGATCCCCAGTACCAAAAAAAAAAAGAACTTGAACAGGGCTTTCCCAATCCAAGTGTTCAGTCCTTCTCTTTTTTTATGGCCCATGATGCATTTTTTTTTTTTTTTTGTACCAGAGATCAAACTCAGGACCTTCCTCTTGGGAGGCAGGTGTGGTGCCAACTGAGCTAAATCCCCAGCCCCCATGATGTCTTTGATAGGGACACTTGAACCCCAGGTCACTAAAGTTCTTATTACTGTCCTCGAGTAAATAGTCACTATATGGAGGCACTATGATTTCTGACCCTCTACCATTCCCAAACAATGCCAGATATGTGGGAGGGAGTGTGTAGAACCCTGGAAATCAAAAGCATGTCAAGTAAAAGATAAGCAATGTATCTCACTAAGAACAATCCATTTCTGTCTACAAAGTTGACACTGTTGTTTAATTGCCAAATCAATAAGAATGAACTCCACCTCACTGGACCACAGAAAACACTCCAGCAGGTCATAAAACTAGAGAAACAGAAAGTTTGACAAGTGGGAAGTTGATGATTAAACAAAATCTCTATCCCGTGGACAGAACTATATAGGAAATAAAGCACTTAATGTTCATGAGGATCAGAAAGGAGCTAGGCCTTTTCAGTTAGCAACCATCTGCTGCCCCCTCTCAATGCCATAGCACAGGAATATAAGCCTAGAATCACTTCTTCCTGCTTAGTACAAGAGTGAGAATGACTACAGAGGGAAGGCACTTAGGAATCTAATCCCAGTAAACCTCTAAAGTGACCACTGCTTCCTCCCATTTCCTAGAGAGACTATTACACAGATAAGCATTATTTTCTTCTAGACCATTCCCAAGACTGGTAAAGATCCAAAACTACCCCTGAAGAAAGTGAATAGGTCTTCAAAGAAACATGGTCACTGGCTTAGTTACTTTTGTCTTGTTGCTGAGATAAAATACTCGGCACCCAAAGTTAAAAGGGAAAAGGTTTATTTAGATCACAGTGTGTAGAAATTTTAGTCCATAATCAGCTAGCTCCAAGGCAGGGTAGCATCACAAACAGGCATCGCAGAGAAGAAACAGTTCATGGGAGGCAGAAGGTAATAAAGCAACAAGGGACAACCACAGCTCTTTCTATCCCTTATATCTCATCCAGGCTACTTAGGACAGGACAAAAGTAAAACTCACAAAAAGGCCAGGTAGAAAGAGTTCACAGGCTTTTGTCCTATAAAATTGTGGTATTCAAACTGTGGGTGCATATTAGACATGCAAATTCTTGGTACTCATAGCTGTACAAACTGTGAGCTAAATCAACCTTTCCCCCTTTAACTTTGGGTGTCAGGTATTTCATCTCAGCAACAAGAGAAAAGTAACTAAGACAGTCACTGATGTGGATAAAAAGCATACTTAGGCCAGGTAGCACTCACACTTTTAATCCTAGAGCCCTTGATCCTATTATTCCACCATGAATCAATCCCAGCATCACACACTCTAGATCCAGCCACCTCTGAAAAAGCCCTGCCTATGACCGTATGAGGTTTTAGGGGGACATCTAAACACAAGCCATACATTCTTCCCCTGCCCCCCAAAAAAATCTTATGCATATCCCTCTATGCAAAAGCCATTTAGTCCATCTCCAAGAGTTAACAAAGTCCTGACAGTTTCAGCGCTGCTGAAAAGTCCAAGTCCAAAGTCTCCTCTGAGATTGAAGGCAAACTCTTCTTAGCTACAAGCCCCATACAAATGAAAAGAAAGTTAAACACTTCCAACATTCAATGGCACAAGATAGACATTTCCTTTCCAAAAGTTACAAACAGGGGGATAGGAAGGAAAGGGAACAAAGCAAGACCAAAATCCAGTGGGGCAAACATTGAATCCCACACTTCCACTTCCAGCATCCCCAGAAATCAGTGGCAAGTTGTGAACACCAAAGAAGTTTGTTTTCTCCCTTGCTTGCTTACTTTTGCTGCCTTCTGCTTGCCACAAACTGGTTCTCCTCTACAGTTCCCCTCTCTCTACAAGCCATCTTGTCGTGGACCCAGCCAATTATGGACTGAAACATCTGTGCAAAATGTGAGCTAAATAAACCTTTCCCTCTTTAATTTTGGGTATTAGGTATTTTGTCTCAGCAACAAGAGAAAAGTAACTAAGACAGTCATTGATGTGGATAAAAAGCATACAAGGCAAATCAATGCCCAGGGACTGTCGTGAGCCCAAGCATGTTTACAGCCCGCTCTCTCCTGCAGATAGTGATGAAGTCCAACGCAGGAACCAAATTTTAACCATATACCCTTACCTAGTGTTTAATGGCCAGATGTTTGTTTGAATCAATATTAATTAAACAAAGGATCCCTGACCCATGCCAATGGCCCAGAATAGATAAGGAAAACAAATCTCACCCCAGCAAGAAATAGAAATTCTCTATTCAGTTCATCGGGGGAAGGGGAACCCAGGGAGAACAGTGGAAAGACACACAAAAAAGAGTTAGCGAGGATAAAAGAAGAGTCATCCTCCAACAAGACAGGTGCAGTGCCAAGTGTTTCAATACCTCATGTAACATGAATAACTAGATTCTGAAGGGCACACTGCTAGAGCCTCATTCTACAGAAGTGGAAGAAACTTGCCCAAGAAGCTACTAAGTAAGAGAGTCAGAACTTGAATCCAGGTGTATCTGCTCCAACCAAGACAGCATAGTGGACAAGAACAAGCAGCTTCCTGAGCTCTAAGATGGACTACAGAGACTATCTGACATGGAAATCTAAACAAACCAGGTTATTCAGTGAACTGCCCTGGTTGGGGATATGGGGAAGGATAGGTAAACCTGTACTATTATCTCATAGGTCCCTCACCTCCTAAGAGGCTGAGTATATATCAGAAAGGAATAAAATGCAAACTCTTCCAGCAGAGGTCAAAGCTCACATCCTTGAGGCCTGTTAAGTACTGGTCAAGCAAATGATACAATCAAGTCAGGAGATGATTTAATCCAGGAAAAACGACAAGCTTCAGACCACATGAAAATCTGAATGTGAAGTAATGTGGTGGGAATTAACAGTGTGCAAAGTAACATGCACATGTTTACTGCTACAACTGAAAAAGTAAAAAACTCACAAAAAGGCCAGGTAGGAAGAGTTTACAGGCTTTTTTCCTATAAAATAATGGTACTTAAACTGTGGGCACATATTAGACATACAAATTCTTGGTACTCATACCAGGCCTAAAACACCATATCAGAATCAGAAATTTGGGGGATGGGGGTCCGAATTCTGAGTAATAACCCTTCAGGTAATTATGCTGCATGGTAAAGTTTGAGAACTACCCCATTAAGTAAGTGCTTAAAGAAAACGTGAGACAGCACAAAATCCAATTCACTTCAATTCTGAACACATTTGTAGGGCACCCACTATGCACCAAGCATCATGGAGGACATCAAGAAATACTTGTTGAATGAGTCCCTAGTTTGTGGGAACTAAGTGCCACTTAACCCTGGGAGAGAGCTGTAGTAGGCGTCTTCTACAGGCTTCTCTCACGCTGATCCCAGTCAGCACACACCCAGAAGTACAGGTCGTCTGGAAGGTGCTGGAGATGAGCACTAGACTGGGACAAGTCGCAATCCCAGATGGAGAGCCGGATCAGGGCCGCTCCAGCTTTTAACCACTCCACGCTCCAGCCCCAGCTCCCTGGTTCGCCACTTGAGTGGAAAGGCTTCTCGCTGAGCCACCAGCGGCTCTAGTTCAGCTCTGGCTACTGCGCACGCTGGGTTGTATCACCCAAGTGGACAGTCCACACTAATGCCCTCAGTGCACCAAACCCGAGAGTCCCCGGAGAGGGGGCGGGCCCCTGCCAGTCAGCCGAGCCACGTGCCCGCGCCCCTGGCCCAGGTGACAAGGTCACAAGCCAGGGCTCCCTACCGGGTCCCTCAGTGGTTACAGAGCCCAGGAAGGCGGGATCGTCACACCAGCTCCCGGCGCTCCGCGCACCGCGACGACCGGCTGGCCGGAGCTAAGTGCAAGTCTCCCGACAGCCGCCGCCACTCACCGCGAGGGACACACAGCAGCGGCGCCGACTCACTCCGCAGCCGGGCAGCTGGGCCTCCGGGACCTCGCAGGAAACGGTGCCCTCCGCCACCCCCACTGCGCTCTGTGTAGCCGCCGCCGCGCGGCCTGCCGGGACCTGTAGTTCCCGGTTCCCCAAACTGGGAGCAACAAGCAAGAGCCCGCGGACGCCTGGACCGCGCCAGCCAGGGAGGCACAGGGGCCTCAGATACTGTTTTTTCTTTTTTCTTTTTTTTTTTAAGACGTAAAGCCGTCTTTCTTAGATGACATAATCTTATATATAGAAAATCCAAAAAAGGGGCCGAGGATTTAGCTCAGTGGTTTCACCGCTTGCTGCGCAAGCGCAAGGACCCAAGTTCGATCCCCGGTACCAAAAAAAAAAAAAAAAAGAAAGAAAATCCAAAAAAGTCTGTTGCAGCCAATCAATACATTCAGCAATGTTGCAGAATACAAGAATAGCAAACAAAAATAGTTATATTTTCACACATTATCGATGAACAATGTAAAAAAGAAAAGAAATGAATTGATAAATATCAAAAGAAAATATACGTTGAATCAAAGTGGTATACGATTTGTATGAAGAAAACTCCAAAACATTACATGTACCAACTCATGATGAGCATAATCATTATGTGCTACAAACATGTACTAATAAAAAATTTTAAAGTATAAAGATGACTTAAGTAAGGGCTGGGGATTTAGCTCTGTGCACCTGCTTCGCAAGGGCAAGGTCCTGAGTTCGATTTCTACCGCCCCCCCCCAAAAAAAAAGATGACTTAAGTAAATGGAAAGGCACCTCCATGCCTTCTTTGGACATGGAATCCCACTGAAAACTTTTTGCAAGAGTCATTCGATTTATTTGTAGATAATCTAGATTTAGTCTTGGAGGTCAAAGTTTTCCATGTTTTAAAAATCTTTCATTCCTTTTTCTGTATCAAAAAGTGGCCTTAGAGAATAATTTCTTTGGTCTCTTCATGTACTGTGGTATTAAGTTGTTTACATTCACTCTTTTAAACTCTGCCTTTTTGTGGATTTGTGCATTTTATAACCAATGTGTTCGGATTTTGCTTATGAGGAGAGGTGGTTTAGTAATTGTGTCACTGAAGAGATAGAAATGGTTGACAGCAACTGCATTGTTTAACTTTTTGAGTTGACTCTATAGACCATATTAGTGGAATAGTTATGTGTCTGTGATTTAATATGAAAAGTATTATGGAGTTAAGGCATGTAAATACTATGGTAGTCCTTATATATTAGAACACTCCAAGTTTAGGAAGCAATGGCACATACTGTATTTAGACCTTCACTTGGAGAAGGGAGCTAGAGGCAGTTCCAGCCCTCAGACCATATGGGAGATGTAGTACCTTCAAAACCCCAGGATGTTGTCAGAATAGCAATCAGGCAAGAGAAAGAAATAAAAGTTATATCTACAGGAAAGGAAGAAGTCAAATTATTATATTTGCTGATGACATGATCCCCTACATAGAAGACCCAAAGAATTCCACCTAAAATAACCGAATTCAGTAGCATAGTAGGATACAAAAATCAACACACAAAAATCAAAAATGTTCCTGTACAGCAAGAATGAACTCAATGAGAAAGAAATTAGGAAAACAATACATTTTACAATAACATCAAGAAAAATTAAATATTTAGAAATTAATCTAGCCAAGGAAGTGAAAGACTTCTACAATGAAAACTACAATACTCTGAAAAAAGAAATTGAAGAGAACATCAGAAAATGGAAAGATATCCTCTGTTCCTGAATAAGCAGAACCAATATACTCAAAATGACTTTCAAAACTATTATACAGATTTAATACATCCCGGTCAAAATACCAATAGCATTCCTCAAAGAAACAGAAAAAACAATCCTACAATTGATATGGAACCAGAATACCAGCAGCAATCCTGGGTAACAAGAGCAAGGTAGGAAATATCACAATCTCAGACTTGAAATTATATTACAAAGCTACAGTGAGTGATAAAAACAGCATGGTAGTGGCAAAAAAAAAAAAAACCACAGATATTTGTATCAATAAATAGAGGACACAGAAACAAATCCAGGCACATTCAGCTACCAGATCAGACAAGGGAGCCAAAAACTGGAGGAAAGATAGCTTCTTAATAAATGGTTCTGGGAAAACTAGCTATCAACATAAGAACATTGAATGTTGACCTTTATCTCTAACCATTACTAAACTAACATCAAAATAAATCAAACATCTAAATATTAGAATAGACACAATCTGGGCCAGGGATTTAGCTCAGTGGTTCCGCCACCTGCCTAGCAAGCACAAGGCCCCAAGTTTGATCCCCAGTACCAGAAAGAAAAAAAAAAAATCTGCTGGAAGATAAAATAGGTTAAACTCGTGAAGATATAGACATAGACAAGGACTTTCTGAACAGAACCCCAAAGGCAAAGAAATAATACCAAAAATCAACCAGTGGGGCCATATCAAATGAAAAAGCTTCTACACAGCAGAAGAAACAACCAACAGAATGAAGAGACACCATACAAAATGGAAAAAAAAATTTTGCCAGCTATTCCTCAGATGGAGGACTAATATCTAGAATATACAAAGTACCCAAAAACATTAGACCACCCAAAACAAAAGACCCAATCAAAAGCTGAACAACTGAAATGAACAGATACTTCTTACAAGAAGTACAAATGAAAAAGAAAAAGTCATACAAATGATCGATAAATACATGAAAACACTGATTAAGAGAGAAAACGAAGGACACTACATCATTGTAAAGGGAACAATCCAAGAGGAAGGGATGACAATCATAAATATATATGCACCGAACACTAGTGTGCCCAACTATATAAAACAAATACAAAAAACATGAAAAATCAAACAAGCACTAATACAATAGTAGTGGGGGACTTCAATACACCACTCTCACAAGTAGATAGATCAACTAGACAAAAAATAAATAACAAAATACTAGAACTCAAGCAAACTCATGAACAAATGAACTTAACAGATGTTTACAGAGTCTTCCACCCCACAAAATCAGAATACACATTCTTTTCAGCTGCACATGGCTCATTCTCAAAAACAGACCATATACTCACTCACAGAACATGTTTAAGTAACTGCAAAGGAATTGAAGTTATCCCCTGTATATTATCAGACCATAGTATGATGAAATTGGAGGTCAATAGCAAAAGAAACAGCAAGAATTTCATAAACACATGAAAATTGAACAAGACACTTCTGAATAACCAATGGATCACAGAGGAAATCAGAGAAGTCAGACAGTTCCTACAATTAAATGACAATACCAGTACAACATATCGGAATCTACAGGACACAAAGAAAGCAGTCTTACCAGGGAAATTCACAGCAGTGAATACTCATATTAGGAAAACAGAGCGAGCCCAATTAAACAACCTAATGCCGAACCTCAAGCTTCGAAAAAAGAAGAGCAGGGCAAACCCAAAGCTCATACAAAGGAGGAAATTATAAAGATCAGAGCAGAAATCAATGCAATGGACACTAAGAGAAGACACAAAAAAATCAATGAAGCCAAGAGTTGGTTCTTCAAAAGAATTAACAAAATTGACAAACCCTTAGCCAAACTTATCCAAAAAAAGGAAAGAAAAGGCCCAAATCCATACAATTAGGAATGAAAAGGATGAAATTACAATGGACCCAGCAGAAATCCAGAGGATCATCAATATCTACTTTGAGAACCTATACGCCAATGAGATGGAAAATACAGAAGAAATGGACAGATTCCTAGATATCTGTGGATTACCCAAGTTGAACAGAGAAGACCTAAAAATTCTAAATGACCAAATATCAATCAATGAAATTGAAAACATAGTTAAAAACTTCCCAACTAAGAAAAGCCCAGGTCCTGAGGACTTCACTGCTGAATTCTACACGACATTTAGAGAGGAACTACTGCCACTGCTGTTTAAACTCTTCAATGAAATTGAAAGGGAAGCAATACTCCCAAATACATTCCTGGAAGCAACCATCACCTTGATCCCCAAAGCAGAGAAAGACCCAACTGAAAAAGAGAACTATAGGCCAATCTCACTAATGAACATAGATGCAAAAATCCTTAATAAGAAACTGGCAAATAGAATGCAGAAGATCATCAAGAAGATCTGATCAAGTGGGATTCATCCCAGGGATGCAGGGATGGTTCAACATATGCAAATCAATCAATGTAATACACTATATCAATAGAGCCAAGGACAAAAACCATATGATCGTCTCAATAGATGCAGAAAAAGCATTTGACAAAATCCAACATGCATTTATGACCAAAAATCCTACAAAAAAAATGGAATAGACGGTCTCTACCTCAATCTGACAAAAGCCATCTATGAAAAACCAACAGCCAATATCATACTAAATGGTCAAAAACTGAAATCTTTCACAATAAAATCAGGAAGAAGACAAGTATGTCCACTATCACCACTCCTGTTCAATATAGTCTTAGAAACATTAGCCACAGCAATTAGACAAGAGAAAGAAATAAAAGGAATAAAGATAGGATTTTAAGAAGTCAAATTGTCGTGGGCTGGGGATTTAGCTCAGTGGTTTCGTCACCTGCTGCGCAAACACAAGGACCCGAGTTCGATCCCTGGTACCAAAAATAAGAAGAAGAAGAATAGAAGTCAAATTGTCACTATTTGCAGATGACATGATACTCTATATAGAAGACCCCAAGAACTCCCCAAAAGTCTTCTAGACTTAATAACCAAATTCAGTAGAGTAGCTGGATACAAGGTCAACACACAAAAATCAATAGCTTTCCTCTACACGAACAACAGACTCACTGAGAGAGAAATGGAGCAAATAATTCCTTTCACAATACAATCCAAAAAAGTGAAATACCTAGGAATCAACCTAACAAAAGAAATCAAAGACTCTTCTCTGAAAACTACAGCATTCTGATAAGAGAGATTCAAGATGATATCAGAAAATGGAAAGACATTCTTTGCTCCTGGGTAGGAAGAATCAACATAGTGAAAATGGTCATACTTCCAAAACTGCTATATAGATTCAAGGCAATCCCAATTGAAATTCCAGCAGCATACTTCAGAGAACTAGAGTAAAAAATCCAA